GTTTGTTTAGCGCGAATATTGAAATTAAGTGTATCGTAAAGTTATATTCGGAAAGAATAAACCAGTTTTATTAAGTAAAGACTTGTGTCGTCAAAGTTTCGTCGGAACGAAGTTACGAAAAAAAATCAATTAACAAACGGAAACGTAACACAACTATACAACCATATATTACTTATATTAAATATAAAATAAAGAGAACCACAAAATGTTTTATGATTAGCTATAAAACACATAGACGAAAAATAGATGCTGCTAAAAAACAAAAATTTAAAGTTGAAAGGATAAAAACCTTACCAGTAGTATTAAAAACAAATTGTAAGACTGTATGAAACGCCAGAGTATGCAAGTGTTAAACTAAAATTAATAATGTTAGGTGTACTGGTATGATGTGTTGTTTTTAAATGGTGGTTTAAGTACAAGTACCACCCATTTTCTCTGTTCATTTTTGTTTTTTTTGGTCAATGAGTATAGCTTTTATATATTTTCTCTCTTTAAAATCCTTTACTTTGTAAGATAGAAACTTTAAATGGGTTTGATTTTCTGTGTTGGAGGTTCCGTGTTTGTATACTTTGGTACAATTCTCACAAACTAATGCAGACAGATTTTAAAATGTATGTTTTTCTTTTGACTTTACAGGAGTCAGAGATAAAACACATCGCAAAAATTCGATATTTGGCCTGCTATTTTTATATTTCAACCAATAGACACGAAAGTTTATAAAAAGATATTGTTACGACAGCGGAAGTCACGTGACGCTGGTAACACGTAATGAGTATCTCGAACGTTCCTGAAGGCTCGAGTGTTTGTCAGACGCCCTCTATTTTGTATATATAAGACCGGCGAGAAGTGACGGCATAGATAAGTGAATATCAGACAGGGAGATAGAGACAGATAATCGAGTCAAGCCGTAAGTAAATGGTGTAAATCATTGTGAATTATAGCGTGTGTTGAAGTTAAAGTGACTGTGGAAATTAAGTGTATTGCAAAGTTGTATTGAGAAAGAATAAACTGGTT